GAACTGACTCATTAGAAAAGACCCTGATTCTGGGAAAAATTGAGGGCAGGAGGAGAAGGGGACAATGGAGGATGAGATGGTTTATGGCATCACTGACTATATGGACATGAGTTTGAGCAAGTTCCAGGAATTGGTGATGGACAGGGAAGCCTAGTGTGCGGCCACTCCATGGGGTCTCAAAGAGTCGGACACGACTAAGTGACTGCACTGAATGTACTTCAAAGTTCATAGCAGAATTATTTACAATTGCCAAGATACAGAAGCAGCCTAGGTGTCCATCAACAGATGAATGGATAAAGATGTGCTATAGATATTCAAAAGAATACTATTTAGCCATAAAAAATGAAATTGTGTTAATTGCAACAACATGGATGGACTTAGAGAGTACTCTGCATAGTGAAATAAGTCATACAGAGAAAGACAAATACTGTATGTTATCATTTGTATGTGGAATCTAAAAAATAAAACAAACTAGTGACTAAAAACAAACAGAGTCACAGATATAGAGAACAAACTAGTGGTTACCAGTGTTAACAGGGGAGGGCTCCTGCCCGGTAAATGGGCTACAAGGATACATTTTACAGTGCAGGAAATACAGCAATATTTCATAATAACTATAAATGGAGTATAATCCATAAAAAATTTTGAGTCACTATGTTGTACACCTGAAATTAATATAATATTGTAAATCAACTATACCTCAATATAAAGAAAAAAGATGTAAATGTAAAATCAAAAAACTTAAATTAACTTTATTTTAAATGGGAGCCATCAGTATGATCTCATTATATGTTTCCTTTCCTAAAAAATATCTACTTCTTTTTGTATGTGTTCACACACATCCAAAGAAAAAAGAAAATTGGGCAGCAATGGCAATCTGGTGCAGATTGCCTAATACTATTTTCCCTAAATAGTATGTATTCCCTAATACTATTTTCCCTAAATACTATTTTCCACTAAAAGGACCTAGGTTCCTTGGTGAAAAGGCTGATCAAAGATCAGCACTGATCAAAGATCTGGTGCAGGAAATGTACAAAATGAGCCTAGAACATCTTCTTGAGCTAGGAATCAAGGTTCACTTGGGTTTTGTCCAAAGCTTCTTGTTGTTTTGTCACTAAATTGTGTCTGACTATTTTACGACTCTGTGGACTATAGCCCATCAGGCTCCTCTGTCCATGGGATTTTCCAGACAAGAATACTGGAATGGGTTATCATTTCCTTCTCCCAGGGATCTTCCCAACCCAGGGATCAAACCCACGTCTCCTGTTTTGGGAGGTGGATTTTTTATCACTGACCAACCAAGAAAGCCAATCAAAAGGCTAAGTAAACAATTTAAAGGGGTTCTCAGTGGCCAAAATTCAGAAAATTTGAGCATCAATATAATAAAAATTATAATACACTGAAACATACCCAACATATAAAAATTCAAAAACAAAAACTCATTGGTCACCTTTCAAAGTTGCTAGAACATCTTATTTTTTTGAAAATGGGTAAAAAATAGGAAATAATCAAGTACTTTCCTGATTTCCTGGTATGAACTATACTTCTGACTAATGAAATAGTAAGGGAAGAGTTCTTTATAAATGATCCCAACCGATAAAAGTAATAAACAGGGTACTTCCCTGGCAATCCAGTGGTTAGGAGTCCGCCTTCCAATGCAGGGGACATGGGTTTGATCCCTGGTCTTGGAACTAAGATCCAACATACCACTGAGCAACTAGGCCCACACACCACAACTACTGAACACACGCACTCTAAAGTCTGTGCTCTGCAACAAGAGAGGTCAATTCGCAGCAACTAGAGAAAAAAGCCCATGTGCCACAACAAAGACTTGACACAGTCAAAATTTTAAAAAATAAATTAAAAATAAAAACAAAAAAATTTAAAAAACAAAAATGCAAGCATTTAAAAAAGAATTATAGAATGATGAAGTCACCATTTACAAACCCTTAAAAAATAATAGACTATACAGGAATTACCAGTATGAAGGCTAAAATCATTAGGTGACTGATTAACAGGGAACTATGAGAATCAGGCTTATAGTGTGTGATTGCACTGATCAATCTTAACATTACCAAAAGTGAGACAACCCGGGCTCACGTATTAGTCATACTATTAAATGGACACTTGACTTTCAATGAAGATGTCACAGTAACTCAATGGAAAGAAGATAGTCTTTTCAACAAATGGTGCTGAAATCACTGAACAACCATGCATAAAACAGGTAACTTTTTGGATTGATTCAAATAGAAATGTTCTATTTGATAATGGCGGTGATTATATGATTGTGTATAATTGTCAGAATTCATCAAACTGTAAACTTAAAAAGAGTGAATTTAATGTATGTAAAATTTTCCTTAATAAATCTAACTTTTAAAAAACCTTTTCTGTTCATCTTACCTCACTGACACTGAAAATATTTCCAAGTTACTTCAGTTACTATATAATTACAGATTTCTATTGATATCCATTGACTGTACAAGCAGTTAGCAGATTTCTCACTAGGATCTCTAGCTTTTGTTTTCAAAAGCTAATTTGTTTTCCTTAAGCATCCTTGACCACTCTGGTAATCACTGTTTATTTGATGCCAAAACCTGCAACCCACTCCAGTATTCTTGTCTGGAAAATCCCATGGACAGAGGAGCCTGGTGGGCTATATATAGTCCATGGGGTCACAAAGAGTTGGACAGGACTGAAACAACTTAGCACAAATCTGCTTTGGGCTTCCCAGGTGGAGCTAGTGGTAAAGAATTCTTCTGCCAAGCAGGAACTGCAGGAGACACCGGTTCGATCCCTGGATTGGGAAGATCCCCTGGAAAAAGAAATGGCAACCCACTCCAGTATTCTTGCCTGGAGAATCTCCATGGACAGAGGAGACTGGCGGGCTACAGTCCATGGGGTTGCAAAGAATCAAACACGACTTAGCGACTAAACAACAACAAAACCCTACTTAGTATCTTAAGAATATTTGCTTCCCAGGTTTCAAACCTGTGTGTCCAGGTTATCCACAATGTCATGTCGTGCAGCTGATGTGTTATAGAACTCTAAGTCAACCTGAATATGTGTTTACAAAAGTAAAAAAAAAAAAGCTTTGAGTATTTTGTTTCTGTAGTGCCTTTTGTAAAAGACAACCATTTCTTACTTATTTTATTTTTAACAGTGGAATAAAAAAGGGAGCCAAATGATTGTCTCTGACTCATCATGTTAACTGAATATCTGAAGATATCACTGAAAGATCCTTAGCAAAATGTTAACTGCTACACTTCTGTCCTTTTTCAATACTATTGGGTGAAAGCAGTGAACTTCTAACCTTATTCACTTTTACAGGCTGGGTTTAGCATGGTGTGCAGCACAGAGCCCAGAGTCTTCAACACAGTAGTTGGTTTTTGAGTATTTGAAGATCAAAGTACATTAAAAAGTCCTACCTCTGAATTCCTTCCTCCTACCCAACAACTTTTTTCCAAGTTAAATGTATCTAGTTAATTTTGACCTAACAGAAGCTGAAATTCAAGTTAAATTTTTAACCAAATTGAGTGAAGGAAGGAAAGTAACTAATCTCATTTATAAAAACCTATTCAGAAAAAATTTTAAATACCAGGACTAGATTCATACAAAATTGCCAAATATATTTTATCTTAACATTAGCTTGATTGTATCTGTTCTAATATGTAGATACAAGACCTTATTTAAACAACTTCTTGTTGTTTCCAAACAACTAAGCCTCTTTAATCTTTCTTCTGAATTAAGTAACAGACCAAATTCCTTTCTGCTCCTAGAAAACTTAGAGCCACACTTATGCCTACACAAATCAGTGTGTGGGCTAAAAGGGTAGCAGTTCTCTACTTTTTTTCCCACCAAAACACAAAGTGATATTTAAAGCATATTTAATATTCACCATCCAGCTTACTTTCCCCACTCTGCACTGTCACCTTTGGTAAGGAAGACAGCTAGTTTGCATGAAAGTCCCCCGTAAGACTTCTGTATATAAGCCTATATTTTCTCTCCCATCAATCCACCATACACCAGTGTCATAAAACCATAATCAAGAACTGCGGCAGCTCAGCCTTATTCCTGACTCCATTTTATATCTCATACTTATTTTTCTTTCTACTTTCACCCCACTTTTAATTTCTCCTTTCTTGAATTTCACATAGCCTTGTAAGTCACCTTGAATCCTTTCCAGAACAAGGAATAAATAATCATTCTATGTATCAGTAAAAGCAATCTCTTCTTGTTTACCCTAGATAAAGCCTTAAAACTTCAAGTCCTTGCAGCCTCTTAACTATTCTCTACCATATTAAACACACAAGTATCAAAATCCACAAGTTCCTATATTTTTACTTTTATTAATTTTCTTTTTAAAATATTAAGGCTACATGCAGAAAATACTGGAAAAGTATCCATGTACAACTTAGGTTTAGAGCTTCATATAGAAATTAAATTGTCTGCACAAAGAGGCTGCTTGCTGAATAACTTTTATGTCTAAAGAATGTGAAGCTTCCAGTGTCTTGTATACAGTTACTCAAACAGGAATAGCTCAGCTAATAGGAATTTTTTAATGCTTTGATATAAGACTACTATAGCTTGGTCACTGGCACATGAGAATTTGTTTTAGCACTATTTTTACTGCCATTAATAAATACTTCAAATAACAGAACTGAGCCTCTGCTCAACTGAGTCTGCCTCAATTGATGTGAAATAAAAAGTATGTAAGAGAATTACATTTCTATTGAAAACGGAAATGACTGCTAATCTACTTGGAAAAGTAAATATTTATAAAGCTGGAGTTTTCATAAAGTAGTTTAGAGTTTAGTTCTACTAAAAGGAAATTAGTTATAAAAGTAATAAATACACAATACAGTAGTTTCTACTCATCCCATTTTATAGAAATAATATCCTTTAATTTCCCCCAAAGTTATCTAACCAAGTAACATATAACCTATAATTAGGATTTGCCTTAGAGCAAAGTTTGATTTTAAAAAGTTTGACACTTCACTCACCTACTGCAGGACAGAGTATTGCCCATACACAGATACTAAACCAACTGTCTAAGCAATTTCTTGTGTTTAGAAATTCAGTGCCACTATCATGGCTCACAATTTGGCTTATGATGCATTTGTAAGCAAACAGCCTGACAAGTACCCTAGTGTATTTCAGGATGACTGACAGGACACAGTGGCTCAAACAGGAAAGGGGGATGGGTGCTCTTAAAGCAACATACCAGTGAAAGGCAATATTAAACAGTAGAATCAGATTAAAATTATATTTTTCAAGTTTGCAATGAAATAATGATATACTGTGTAATACAAGCTTTTAAATATAACTTCATGTCATCATGTGCCCCAAACACTGTAAATTCCAAAGTGACTTTTAGAATTTAAAATATATTTTAAATGGACGACCAAAAGGACCTACACAAGAGCCAGGGAATTTTGTTCAGTATTCTGTAACAACTTAAATGGGAAAAGAATTTGAAAAAGAATAGATATATGTACATGTATAACTGAATCACTTTGCTATACACCTGAAACTATCACAACGTTGTTAATTAACTATAGTCCAGTATAAAATTAAAAGTTAAAAAAATAAAATACAGAAAAAATTTTAAAACAAACATGCTATATGATACTTCCATGTACTTATCGAACTTCCAAATTATGCAAGAATATTTCAATTATTTTTAACAGAAATTAGGTCAGGGTAGCCAAAGAAAAGCAGTTCTCAAGGTAGGATTTTTTTTTTTTTTTTGACCACACAGTGAGGAATCTTAGTTCCCGGACCAGAGATGGAACCCATGCCCACTGCAGTGGACGCATGAAATCCTAGCTATTGGACCACCAGGGAAGTCCTGAGAAAAGCAGTTCTTTTTTTTTTTTTTTTTTTTAATTTTTCCATTTATTTTTATTAGTTGGAGGCTAATTACTTTACATCATTACAGTAGTTTTTGTTATACATTGATATGAATTAGCCATGGATTTACATGTATTCCCCATCCCAGTCCCCCCTCCCACCTCCCTCTCCACCCGATCCCTCTGGGTCTTCCCAGTGCACCAGGCCCGAGCACTTGTCTCATGTACCCAACCTGAGCTGGTTATCCGTTTCACCCTAGATAATATACATGTTTCAATGCTGTTCTCTTGAAACATCCCACCCTCGCCTTCTCCCAGAGTCCACAAGTCTGTTCTATACATCTGAGTCTCTTTTTCTGTTTTGCATATAGGGTTATCGTTACCATCTTTCTAAAGTCCATATATATGTGTTAGTATACTGTAATGGTCTTTATCTTTCTGGCTTACTTCGCTCTGTATAATGGGCTCCAGTTTCATCCATCTCATTAGAACTGATTCAAATGAATTCTTTTTAATGGCTGAGTAATATTCCATGGTGTATATGTACCACAGCTTCCTCATCCATTCGTCTGCTGATGGGCATCTGGGTTGCTTCCATGTCCTGGCTATTATAAACAGTGCTGCGATGAACATTGGGGTGCACGTGTCTCTTTCAGATCTGGTTTCCTTGGTGTGTATGCCCAGAAGTGGGATTGCTGGGTCATATGGCAGTTCTATTTCCAGCTTTTTAAGAAATCTCCACACTGTTTTCCATAGTGGCTGTACTAATTTGCATTCCCACCAACAGTGTAAGAGGGTTCCCTTTTCTCCACACCCTCTCCAGCATTTATTGCTTGTAGACTTTTGGATAGCAGCCATCCTGACTGGCGTGTAATGGTACCTCATTGTGGTTTTGATTTGCATTTCTCTGATAATGAGTGATGTTGAGCATCTTTTCATGTGTTTGTTAGCCATCTGTATGTCTTCCTTGGAGAAATGTCTGTTTAGTTCTTTGGCCCATTTTTTGATTGGGTCATTTATTTTTCTGGAGTTGAGCTGGAGGAGTTGCTTGTATATTTTTGAGATTAATCCTTTGTCTGTTGCTTCGTTTGCTATTATTTTCTCCCAATCTGAGGGCTGTCTAGAAAAGCAGTTCTTATCTCACCTCAAGCTATTTGCAAGTCACTGTTACAACAGTAAGTAATAAAAGTAATTTAAATAGCTTGGATTATTCAAAATTGTTATTGAAGATGGAGGTAAGGAGATCTATGTATTCTGCCCCTGCTGTGTTTCTTTCCTACTTCCATGGTTAAAAAATAAATCATCAGGTTAGGAAATTCCAATTATGGGTATTTCCATATTAGTTTCATTTGCAAAAATATTTCTTTAAGCAATACACTGACTTCATTATTCACATTTATAATTTTTCTATCTTACAATATTCTGCACTGCTCAATCCTTTTATACAACAATTACCCCTATTTTTAAAACCACAAAAAAAAAAAGCCATTCATTTTTAAACGCAATCCCACATTTAGCCAGCAGAGGGTATCATCTAATCCTGAAAGGCCACAGTATTGAGCCCAATGACATTTGTTTTAATACTTGAACTAGGAACTGAAGCACAGCATCTCAACTTTGCCGATTAATAATATTGTGTCTAGCAATATTCCATTGTATTTGCCCATATTAGTGTTTATTATTCTCATCTGTGACAAATTATTTTGTTACATTATTTCCTCCTCTATCAATTCAAACAGATGCATCAGAATTGGGTTCAATCATCAGGATGACTTTCTACAACTCTAGATTTTCTGGGACAAAAAAGCAAACAAAAACTCTATGTAAAGTTTCCAAGCTCCATTAGAAAATCCAAAACTAAATTCCCCCAAAATATTAAAATAAACTGCACTATAAAGCAAAATAATTTTTCTTCAAAATTACATATGATATTTGTAAATCATTTAGTATTTTCTAATTGCCCTGTTTAATATTTGCTAACTGTCCATTTTATAATAGAAGCTATTATAACAGAAGTAATTTTAGAAGATACATTTCCTGTTATCACTGCATTATTTCTCATGAGCATGCAATGTTATGACCGTAACAAAGTCCTCATACAAGCTACAAATTATTTCATAATTTAATACCCACTTCAGTTTGTAAAAAGCACAGACCCTGATTTGCCTGATTTATTCTAAAAATAAAGATTTTACTATATAATTAATTAAAATCCAGCTTCCCAGGTAGCTCAGTGGTAAAGAATCCACCTGCCAATGCAGGAGCCACAGGAGACGTGGTTCAGTCCCTGGGTGGAGAAGATCCCCTAGAGAAGGAAATGGCAATCCACTCCCTATCTTGCCAGGATAATCCCATGGACAGAGGAGCCTGGCGGGATACAGTCCATGGGATCTCAAAGAGTCAGACACAACTGAACATGAATACAGACCCAGCTAAAATCATTAACTACCACAAATTTATCTTAACCAAAGTTACAGATTTTCCATGCTTCTCTAAAACTATTGTCACAAACATCAAGTCTACCATTAACGATGGCAAAGAAAAGACAGATCTAGAGGCTCAGAATGATCTCTCTTATGCTTGCAGGCTTGCCACTAGTGACATATCCTTTATACTAAAGAATTAAATTTTCCAAAAAGAAGAGAAATAATCACTCAGTTGCAATACAAAATAGGAAATTGCAATTTCTTGAAAATTCTATTCCTTATAATGACAGCAACTTTGGGGTTCTTCACTCTATAAAATCACTTCTAACATCTGAATATGGCTGTTTCTTTCCTCATATAATTATCATGGTGGCCATGTAAAAATTATATTTCACATTTGGAAATAATAACATCTTGTTATTGATTTTTTCATAAAATTTTGTAACTTTAATTTTCTAAACTGATATATTCTCTATAATACAAAATCAACACTTATAATTATTTCTCAAATTAACTTAGAAAAAAGCATCCAGAAGGAAACTGAAAAGTCTATTTTGCCAGTAATTTGCTTATCCTTTTCACCTATCACCCACACATTTTAGAATATACAGATAACTAATTTTTTCTTTCTGTTCTAAGCTTCCAATCCTGAGTTTCATTCCCTGACACAGGCACTCCTGAACTATGTCTCATTTAATGATTTCTCATTTTTCCAGGTGCCTTAAGCACCTACATGTAAAGTCCTTGTTAGATTCTATTTGTGGCTTAAAAAAAAAATTTTTTTAAACAATAATGCTTTGGTAGGGAGGGGAGACTGAATGACCACTCAATAGATACTACTTATTTAAAATAATCCTTTCTACTTTTAACAAAAATGCCTCCATATAGTTTATGCTCTATTTTAATTTTTTTACACTCTTTATATAGTTTAACTTGAAAACAACATATTACCTCCCTATTGCAGTAACATAACATATTACTCATAACATATGGCTCATAACATAATATTCACACCAGTGAGCAAATCTAGAGCAAGCCCTCCTCTGACTACAGTGGACATGATGAGTTTGGGGTATGAGTAGCATGTGCAAATGGGTATTCCCATCAGCAGCTGGAAATTCAGAATCCTGCAACTCAGGAGAAAAATCAAGATATGATAACTATGCATTTGTGTTATGCCTTAAACTATGAGACAAGAAGAGCTCTCTCATGGCTGAGTAGAGAGAGATAAGGCATCAAGAATTCACTAAAGGTAGGAAAAGAAGGGAAGTAATGAAAAACATAAGCAGAAAGGCAAGACAAACTTCAGATTCAAGCTCTGCTTTACTCTGCTTGGTCTTATTCACACTGACTCCCCTTTACCCTGGGTTCTTCATGTGAGATGAGACCTATAAAGTTGCTATTAAAGGTAATTATTTATAAAATTACTCATAGAATCCAATGAAGTACTCATTACAGTATTAAATAATTCATTAGTCAATTATTGTTATTTTGTGGAAGATAAATTTCTCATTGAGGAATTCCACTTTTCCAAATCCAAATACCATTGGCTCTTAGAAAACTACTGTGAGAGATGAAAAGTAGATTCCCATCTGACTTAAAAGTTGGTGAAGAGTCATTAAATTCACACATTTTTATTTACAAATTAAATCCATTTCACCATTTCTACCCCATCCATGTTAATAATTTATAATTAAGTAATAAGGAATCATGGTCCTAAAACGGAAGTGCTTAAGAGCTGCTTCCAAAATTGTAACAAATGCTTAATAATGGCAAAACATACTAACACATATTAAT